ATTCCTACTGTCCAATCCCTCTTTTTATAACTAGGGAAACTGAGGCCCAGAGAGGGACGAGGAGGGATGAAAACTGAGGTCCAGTGTTCTTTCTGCTCTGTCCATGCAAGGATAGAGGAGGAGCCTGGGTGCGATGGCTCACACCTGTAATCCCAGCACTTTAGGAGGCCAAGGTGGGTGGATCACCTGAGATCAGGAGTTCGAGACCAGCCTGGCCAACATGGTGAAATCCTGTCTCTACTAAAAATTTAAAAAGTTAGCTGGGCGTGGTGGTGCACGCCTGTAATCCATCTACTCAGGAGGCTGAGGCAGGAGAATCGATTGAACCTGGGAGGCGGAGGTTGCAGTTGAGCCAAAATTACACCACACTGCACTCCAGCCTGGGTGACAGAGTGAGGCTCCATCTCAAAAAAAAAAAGAATAGAGGAGGAAGAAGGGGTAGGGGTGGGAGGAAAAAGAAAGGGAGAAGGGAAAAGAGGAGAGAAAGGGGAGAGAGAGAAGAGGGGAGGGAGGGTATAAGGAAGGGGTGGAAAGGAAGAGAGGGGAGAGAGAGAAGACGGGGAGGAAGAAGGGGGCCTGCCCAGGGAAGCGGTACACTTGGTAAAGGACAGGAGCTAGGTGGAGTCAACTGCTGGGGAGTAGAGATCCTTATTTCCTGGCACCCAACTATGTTCCAAAGAAGTATTTAGAAAGCAAGGGCTCTGGGGCCTGGCGCAGTGACTCATGCCTATAATCCCAGCACTATGGGAGGCCGAGGTGGGCGGATCACTTGAGGTCAGAAGTTCGAGACCAGCCTGGCTAACATGGTGAAACCCGTCTCTACTAAAAATACAAAAATTAGCCGGGTGTGGAGTAGCCCTAGCTACTCAGGAGGCTGAGGCAGGAGAATCGCTTGAACCCGGGAGGTGGAGGTTGCAGTGAGCCGAGATCACACCGCTGCACTCCAGCCTGGACAACAAGAGTGAAACTCTCTCTCTCTCTCTTCCCCCCGCTTAGGTTCATCAGCCAGGAAATGGGGGATCCTGGATTGGTCCCAGGCAGCAGGCTCTGAGGTCTGAGCTCAAGATCAGTAGGCTCCACCAGCTGCCTCCAGCCCCACGTCGAGGACCAAAGTGAGGATGAAGTGAGTTTATGTCCCTGGGGTGGTGGGTCAGAGCCTGGAGCACGGCTCTGCTTTTCCTCATTCGGCCCTTTGGGCATCCTCTACTCTCACCAGATCCAGCTTCTACTCCCATAAAATGGGAGTGGTCACTCCCATCTATCTCATCAGGATGTTAAGAGCTGCGTTTAGGTTTAACTCGGACACAATAACCAGGCTTTCAGGTCAGCCAGACCTGAGGCTAAACAGGACTCCAGGCTGGATGTGGTGGCTCACACCTGTAATCTCAGCACTTTGGGAGGCCAAGGTGGGAGGATGACTTGAGCCCAGGAATCCAAGACCAGCCTGGCAAAACCCCCTCTCCACAAACATGGTGAAACCTCCTGTCTGCAAAATATATACAAAAATTAGCTGGGTGTGGTGGCCTGTGCTTGTAGTCCCAGCTGCTTGGGAGGCTAAAGTGGAAGGCTCAAGTGAGCCTGGGGAGGTTGAGGCTGCAGTGAGCCATGATTACACCACTGCACTCCAGCTTGGGCACAGAGCAGGACTCTGTCTTAAAAAAATAAATAAATACAGCCAGGCGTGGTGGCGCACACCTGTAATGCCAGCACTTTGGGAGGCCAAGATAGGCGGATCACCTGAGGTCAGGAGTTCTAGACCAGCCTGGCCAACATAGTGAAACCCCATCTCTACTAAAA